AGTTAGCAATCTCGTGTCAACAGTATGACAGTTCTTAATAATCGTTCGCTGTAAAGTGCTCGCTTATTCCGATCAGTAAATGCAGATTCAAAGAACGATGACATTTATATCCATTTATAGCAACAAATAATAAAGTCATTTTCACGAATCCGGTAGGCTTAGCGTATTTTGAACGGTCGCTCGTTGAACAAAAAAGTTGTTTTTTTCCCTTGACACTAAAAAAAAAATTGAGTCGGCAGGTTTTGTAATGGGTCAGTCAGGTTACCGGTAGGGGTGACTATTGTTGGTAATTTTCACTATTGCGATAGTATTGCTATGGGGTAAACAGCTATTGCAATACTATTACTATTAGGGATTAAATATTGCGATACTATTGGACTATTGCGATAGTTTAATTTGTTTATTGGTTTAGGTTTAAAACAAACTGTCAGGTATACATTTATTATAACATTTAATCAAACTAAAATCAATGAAACACTGGAAAGTTCCCTTTAATATAACCAACTTCAACAAAAATAATTCTTGATAATTTGTTATGATGAATATCGTATTCTACTGAATGTAATTATCACAAAAATAACGACAAATAGGTGCATCGTTCGGAAAATTTTCCATATTTAATTCACGAACAAATTGAAATTCATGTCGGTAACATTTCTGAATAAATTACTGTATTGTTTTTTTTCAATGGATATAAGCTGATAGGCACCGTGGTATTTCTACATAACACAATTTGTAGGGTTTTTTTTTTCTATCACGTAACTTAGTTGCAAATGATTTTATTCATTCGTCCATGATAGACACGTACGGCACATTGAGTATTAATCGCGTGACAACCATGAATGGCTTTAAAGTTAAATTCCATACGGCTTTCAATGATAATAACGACAATATTTTTTTTAAAAAAAAAATAAGCCTCTGTCATGTGTATAAAAGAAAAGATAGGTTGCCAGGCAACGAAACATACGCCCACAGCAGCTAAATCGTCCGGGGAGTCAACAAGAGTTGTCGCATATTTTTACTTTTTTCCCTATTAAACATTTATAATACATTAAAATCTTATAAAGAGTAACAACTAATTAAGTAATTATCAGAAAACCATTAGAATTTGTTTGGTTTTTATAAAGTTCTGCCCCATGCTAATGTTTAGTATAGAAAACTTTTAACATCATGGATTTAGTTGTTCAAGTCATAAAAATTCATTGAAAATCAATATACATGTACTTGTTCGTCTCAAGACCTTAAACTCTGTGTATCAATCTGAAGTCAATCGGATGATAACTTTAGCCTCTAGAGCGTCAGAAGATTTTTCAAAGTGATCAAGGGCCATAACTCTGGCAGTACTTATCAGAAATCGCCGAAAATCAATAGGCTTCTTCGTCTCATGACCTTAAACACTGTGTATAAATTTAAAGTCAATCGGATATTAACTTTAGCCTCTAGAGCGTCCACAAGCAATTGTGGACGCCGGACCGACGGACGGACGGACGGACGGACGGACGGGGGTGACGACAATATACGACCACATTTCAATGTGGGCGTATAAAAATCATAACGGTAAACGCTATTTAAAACTCAAACTAGCATAGCTGGTTTACTGACCTAATTTCACCTGATATCACGTGTCATCGGTAAATTGGCATTGGAGAATCATATATTATTAATGACTGTTTCTCGGTGTATTCGGTGTTCTATCCGAGGATTATATAACTAACAACTGGTCAGTGAAACCATTAAATTATTAATTCAGGGTTCCTGCGGCTTCGTCAAACATTTTTTCAAGGATATTCAAGGATAAATATACGTCAAATTCAAGGATTTTCAAGGACATTTTTTAGCCTAAAGTTACAATTTTTCATCTTAAAAATAACCAAAACATTACCAACTATCGTTATAAAACTTTTAATCTAAACGGGATTTTCATATCAACTTACTATTATTACCAATTTGAAACAAAATTAAGGATCTCAACTGAAATTCAAGGATATTTTCCTATTTTCGCGAAATTCAAGGATATTCATGACCTTGAAAATGAAATTTTAAATTTAAGGATATTCAAGGATTTTCAAGGACCGCGGAAACCCTGTAATTTAATATCTACTGGTACACCTGGAATTCATACAAAGCTTCGAAGGCGCGCTATAGTGATAGATGCACAATCCATGCCAAGATCGCCTTCCTTCGATTGCCGCGTGGCGGTTAGTGTTAAGAATAATCAGCAAGCTTGTTTTATTTTTTTTTACCGGCCGATTATCAAAATTACGAAATGATTCTGATTTCATACTTTTGATTTAGCTTTATCGTTTTTTTACAACCTCAAATTCCGCCATCTTTAAACAAATCAGAATGCACGATTAACCAGTTATATTTCCGCGATTCTCGTGAACCAAGGAACTGTCTGGACTGGACTGATCGAGAAACAAATACCGACTGACTTTTAATAAAAACACAATTTCGAACAAGTATTTTGGAAGTAAATATTCGACAAATACGAGAGAACTATTTAGGAATTTGTGCCATTTAACTTTGGCTATTGCAAACTATCGAAACAATCGATAGTTTGGTTGACTATCGCAATTTTTATCGATAGTTTCTTTTTACTATCGATACAGATTATCGGCAGTCAAGTTATTGCAATGCATCGATTGTTCGATGTATCGTTACACCCCTAGTTACCGGAAACATAACATTTTTTTTTTTTGGCCATATCAATAAAATTCCTCCAGTTAATAATTTTATTGAGTTTTTATGAATTAAATGCCAGATTCAATATACGTGAGGCGATCCTCACGAACATGTAGGGAATCGAAACCACCACTTGACTCAATGATAGACAAACATACATGCATTAAACCATTCAGCCATCCAACCACCATCATAAAATAGAAGACATTAGAGAAACTAGTACACAGAAGATTTCAAGACTCTTGTGTTAAAAAGTCATTATGATAAAACTGTGACTTATGACATTTTCCTTAAAAATATATAAATACCGCAAAATCCCCTTAGATTTACAATATTCCAACGAAACTATTGATTATCAACCTATTTTTAATGTACACTAAACTTCGCAAAAGTCGGATCTAAGTGGACTGACCAATTTTATCCGATTTAAACGAAGATTCGCGTTAACCGAAGACCGAAATTAAATCTTAGCTCGATTAGAAATAAACTGCAAGAGCAGGATAATACATGTAATGATTCAAAGGCACATTTCAAGCTTTTGTTCGTACATGTGAGTAGACAACTTCTGTTTTGGTGCGATTAGATAACTTCCATTTTGTCGCCATCTTTGAAAAATGTCCTAAATTTTCTCGTGCAGTAAACAGCAAGCTTCGAATTTTCCGGGAAAACTTTATTATCGTGTTGCGTTAAATAAGCTGATTTGAGTCAAAATCATAGGGAAAAGTATTTTGGGGCTCAGTGCATGGAATACCTAACCGCGTTTTTGACCATTGGGACAAAAGTGACTTAATCAAAAAATTCTGAACATACTGCCGGTCCGACTTGGGCAAAGGAAAAAAGTCTGAATTAGATTAAATTGACTGAACATTTTAATCCGAGTTGAGCAAAGATCCGACTTAAGAAATCTGACTTACGCACAGTAATTTAATACTAAAAACGTGCAGGATCAAAGGGTCCAAATGATTTTATCCAAGTTGAAGAAAGATCCGACTTGTACGAATCCAACTTATGTGATGTTTATTGTTTTTACAAAGGTAAGATGAATTGCAGTTTTTGGAACATTTAGCACTGGCTGCTTGGCTGTATGTTTATGCTGGCGTGGACCCCCCTTGTCAGTGATGCAGGACAGAGGGCCTGACAAGTACAGCTGTCTAGTCATTTGCATGAGACAAAAAACCGATGTCCTGTGTACACATTGACGTGCATGTAAAAGATCCCTTGACAGTTGGAATTCGATATAAGAGTAGGCCGTAGTGCCACTGTCCAGGCAAAATTTCCCTCATAGCACACTGTAAGGTGTATGCCCGTCTTCATTAGCCCAGTTCGGAGCAAAACAGTAGGAAGTTAAACCCCATTTTATTTCACTTCATTTGTTTGTTTATGCATGGTATATTTTACACTTACTATTGAATAATACACATCCTTTGAGGAGGAGAGAGAGAAATGGGGTTTAACGTCCACTCAACACAAACTAGGTCATTTCGGGACTAACATATGGTTTAATTTTATTTCAATAATTCGCTTGCGCGTAGGGGTCTTTAGCAGTGGGAGGAAACCGGAGAAACCCGGAGAAAACCCACGAGGTTGGACAGGCGACCCTACTCCTTGTCACGTACAACCGGGGATTCGAAACCTCGCCAGTTGACTCAATTCAGCCATTCGCCCCCCCCCCAACCTTTAAAGAGGCATTATGTAAGATGTGTTCAAGTGCTGACTGTTCTTGTTATAATACATGTAGTTGAAAAATAGCTAGCAGAGAATGAATATATTGAAAATTTCAGTCAATTTACTTTATTCTGAGAGAAGTTACGAGTATTTGAAGTTTTGACAAGAAATAGCTTAAATTATTTCCGACAATTCCCATCGACAGTTCATATTCTCAATTGTCAAGCCAACATATTATCCTTTAATGCAGTGGGCTGATATTGTCTAATCCACTCAATATCTAAACCATAGGAGATGGTTTAAAGAGTTAATTATGGGCTTTTCATGAGAATAAATATCTAAACAATAATTTTTGAGACCAGAAAAAAGACCTATTACAATGGGCAGATTTAGTTACATAATGTTTCTTTAAAGAAAAAGGTTATGGGAAATAAACCTTGTCAGTATTTCCCATAACAAGAGTAGATTAGTCTATTATAGTTATGTTACACCTTTGAACATAGCTGTATATATAAAGGAAAAAAGAGAGTATACTGTAGATGTAGACTCGGGTATATTGTGAACATACCCGTACATATATAAAGAAAGTATTGGTTATATTGGTGATACACGAGAGGAATATGAAAGTAATGATTAACTATTATACATACCGTTAATCTTTAGTATTCTTCTTTACACAACCTGAAATATATAAGTTAAATAAAGATTTAATATTTATAATACCTGTACAATCAAGACTTTATTACTTTTGTCCAGTGTAAATACAAAGAATATTGACCATTGTGCACAGTGTTATGACAATGAACAGTTCATCAAAGGTTAGCTTTAGTCTTCAATAGAATCACTACTGTAGAATGGCAGAGAAAGAGAGAGAGAGAGAAATGGGTTTAGTGTCCCCTCTACTCATTTCGGGACTAACAGATGGTTAAGTTTTATTTCAATAATTCGCTTGGGAGGAAACCGGAGGACCAAGAAAAAACCCACGAGGTTGGACAGTAGAATGACAGAAGGGTTTAAATCTAGTTTTTATTAATTCAAATATATAAAGATCAGTCGCCAGGCAACAAAACATTGCCCACAGCAGCTACATGTAAGTCATCCAAGCAGGCCATAAGGAAAAATATTTAGACATTATATCATAACTCTAGAAATGAAATGGGGTTTAACGTTCAACAGTTCTGTACAATGTGGACTAATGAAGCCATTCATACAAAATGCAGTGTGCTATGTGGGAAATTTTGGCAAACACTTCTGTTCAGCAGATTTTCCGGCGTGATTCCCCCTTGTCGGTGTTGCAGGACGGAGGGCCTGACAAGAACAGCTGTCTAGTCAATCAGATGGGACGCAAAACCGAGGTCCCTTGTACACACTGCCAAGCATGTAAAAGATCCCTTGACAGTTTGAATTCGATATAAGAGTGGGCTGTAGTGCCGCCGTTCGGTCAAAATTTCCCTCATAGAACACTGTATGGCATATGCCCATCTTCATTAGTCCAGTTCAGAGCAGAACAGTAGGATGTTAAACCACATTTCATTTCATTTACTTCTGTTCAGGCTACAGTGAACCAGTCAAACAGACCAAATTTTTTAAATGATATTTCTTTACAACACTAGAGGCAGGAAGCTTTGACATACAATATGGATACAAATATCATCACTTATTCCCTATGATTTGACCCAAGCTTAACCCTGTATTTGAAAAGTTGACAGGGGTATAAACTATTTTTGTGGTACATTTTATTTAATATTAAAATTTGCACTGTACATGTTTGTTATGAAAAGTAAACCAGTTATATCAAAACATATACCGGTATATCAGAACTAACTTGTCAAACTAAACACGACAGGAAAAGTGCTCATCTGACTGAAATGGGGGAAGTGCAATAATGTTTACAATTTATTTTCAACAACTTCAGAGAGAGAGAAAAAGAGAGAAATGGGGTTTAACGTCCACAACACAAACTAGGTCATTTTTGGACTAACATATATGGTTCAATTTTATTTCAATAATTTGCTTTCGCATACACATGAAGAAGTTTTTAGCAGTGGGAGGAAGCCGGAGGACCCAGAGAAAACCCACAAAGTTGGACAGGCAACCCTACACCTTTTCACATACAACCTGGGAATGGAAACCACGCCAGCGGACTCGATGACAGACCTTATGATACAACGCGTACGCGTTAACCATTCTGCCACCCACCCACCCCACGTCATCAACTTCCAAGACATAGAACGAGGTTTAATGTCTTAGAAACATAATACTTCATTATTTTAGGACTAATATAAGATTATTTTTATTTCAATATTCATGTGTGCAATCTAAGGTGGAGGCACTTTCGACTACATTGACTCAACGTTGAACTATTCTCCCCTCCCTTCCCACCCACTCTCTCCCCAGCCAGTAAACCAGTATCCTACCTCATGACCACCCAGTGACCCAACTGTACATATACCAGTACATGTATATGACACCTATCACCTCTTATAGCCATAATTTGTTGGACTCTCTATAGTCCGTTCAATAAAGTTAATGATAAAATTCTTTTCGAAACTCTGCACACATACAATACATACACTTAATCCATAAACTAATATCCTTGAAATACCACAAAAATCATTTGCTCAAATCACATACTTACATGTACAATGTAGGACTAAAATAATTCCCACCAGAATTTCTATCACCTCCTTGTATACCATATATATCATAATAAAAGTAAATAAAAGAATTTGTTTTGGTCGGCTAGCAACCAAATTTCTACTGTACATACATAGACTGTATTATTTATTATAAGAATAAATTATCAACTGATGAATAGAACTGATATTGAGTAGATATTGTGATATATTTATCCTATGATTTATCTATATACAAGAAAATCAAATGAAATCGGTTCTGCCCCAATTGGGATAATGAAGATTCATATACACGATAAACCAAAAAATAATAAATATAAATATGTTGAATATGACCAATACGCACTGATCATTGTGCTATTCACTTTCAGTAAGTAGGTATATATTGAAATATTCAGTTTATATTGTGTTAAGTGGGCCTGGTAATAATCCACCTGTCACCGAAAATCTCAGGTACAAATTATCTTGTGTTGAATGAAAATGAAATGAAGTGGTGTTTAACGTCTTCCGATTGGGCTAATGAAGACTGAAATACACCATACAGTGTGCTGTGAGGAAATTTTGCTCTGACAGAGGCACTACGGTCTACTCTTATATCAAGTAAATTTTGCTTACTCTTACTTAAAGTTACAATTTCATATTTTTTAGTTATATTTTTAAAATGTATTACATGTAAAATAAAGCCCTAAAATAGATGGTATCTATAAACAGTCCTACCTTGTTAAAGAATAATCCTATTAAAGATACATTATGGGTGATAAGATAAAAAGATGGCAGTTCTCACTATAATAGTTAAAAACTAGATAGTGTAATGGTAATTTGCTGAAAATTTCAGTCAAATTGATCCACTATGAGCCGAGAAAGAAGCGGGTGAAATTTTTGCATAGTCTCGGTCATCATTACTAAAATCATTAATATAAACAGCATAGTCTCGATTATCCACTTTTTTTGATTTAATTATCAATGGCCGTTAGCGGCATATAGGAATCTAATCCAGCCAACATCGAAGGCTAGCCTTGACATCAAGAGTTTATTATGGTCTGGATAAGGTAATTAATGTCTAATTGATAATTTAGATATCATTTCAGGCCTAAAGAAAGACTTGTAATAAGCAGATTTTGCTCTTGCATAATGCATGTTTAATCCTGTAATTCACAATTGCCAGTTGAGAAATTGGCAAAAATATCATTTTCATCTTTAAATTCAAACTTTTGAAGATAGCTACTCCATGGTGGAGAATAGAAAACAAGTGAGGTAATTGTGTTATTATTGCCGGTGTAAATGAGTTTTAAGTGTGAGAATGACACCTATGATCGTATAATAGTGAGTTCACAACCTATTGAGCAAAAGACATAGAAATAATTATGTTTTGACTTTCTTAGTAAATATGAAATTGTAACTTTAAACATGTATTGAATTCTAAAAATAGTGGTATTGAATTTTAACTATATATCCAATGTATATTGAGTGGACATTAACACCATCTCTAACTCAAAGGTAAACACTAAATGCATAAAACCTGTTTTTTCTTTTGATGAAAGAATTAAGATGCAAAATTTGTAAAATAATTATGGATTGCCCGGTACCTGTACTGTATAATGTTAAGGTTTGATGATAAAACTGTAAAATAGTGGCACTTTCCTTTATCTGTCAAATACTGTACCTTCTTGTACATGTTCTAAATTTAGAAATACCTTTTAACATTTTTGTAGGTGGTCTTTACAACTTGACCCGACCATTAAACCACCATTAATCTAATGACCCATGAACTATGTATTTTATTGTGTGATATATCATAAACTTCAGACATGATAGCTCTTAGTAAATCCATGAGCTTGAATATATTTGTACATGGGTAATTAATATTCACATTGCAACTAACTTGACAAGTCTGTATTTAAAGAAGAGTAGTTTTAATCCAAGACGCGTTTCGGGCGTAAGGTTTTTTGTCGTCTGGTTAACAAAATAATCCTTTTATCTGGTATACAATGTAAACAGACAATCATATTTTGTGCATGCACGTAATTCCTAGACGCTGAATCGGGGCAGCCCAGAAAAATCCTGAGGGACATTGCAAACCATGGCACGCACTTAAAGTAAAAAAAAAAATGAAATGAAATGGGGTTTAACGTCCTACTGTTCTGCTCCACTGGGCTAATGAAGACGGGCATACAGTGTGCTACATGTACAAGGTATGAGGGAAATTTTGCCTTGACAGCAGCGCTATGGCCTACTCTTTACATCGAATTCCAACTGCCAAGGGCACTTTTATGTGCACACGAGACCTTGTTTTTTTGTCCCATCCAAACAACTAGACAACTGTCCTTGTCAGGCCCTCCATCCTGCACCACTGACAAGGGGAAACCATGCCGGAAAATCCAGATGAACTCTCTAAGCCAACGCCACGACCTCCAGGTTAGCGAGCCAGCATCTTACTCCTTAGCCATCGTGGCTCCCCTTTAAGTAAGAGCTTCGGACTAAAGTACATACAAGAGGTGTGTAGACTCCCCTCTACAGGTTTTTAACTGGCTCAGATAAGTTAAACAAACATTATACAATGTTTCTTTAGGCTTGAAATGTTTTCTAAATTACTAATTAGACATTAATTAACTTATCCAGACAATAATAAACTCTCGATGTCATCGCTAGCCTGTGATATTTACCGGATTGGGATCAATGATGATAAAATCCAAAAGTGGATAATCAAGACTATGTTTTTTTATCGTATCGACTTTACTAATCATGATCGAGGCTAGGTCTAAAATTCAATCACTAAATTCTGAGTTCAGGGTGGATCAATTTGACTGAAATTTTCAGCAAATTCCCTTTACATTATCTAGTTTTTAACTATTATAGCGAGAACTGCCAGCTCTTTATCTTATCTCCCATAATGTATCTTTAAACCTGTGGTTATCAAGATCAAGGTATACTGACATAATAGTATTTTCTATATTTACAACCTGGTCATATCACCTGACATAAATATCTTATTTAAATGTCAGATCAATGTTAACAAATAACAAGGTTAACTTGTCAAACTTAAAC